CTTACATTGCATGTGATGGAAACTATTCTTGTACGTGTTTGTTGTAATGAGAGGGTTATTTATGGTGTACACACATTTTCACTTTTCTGCTTTGCTTGGTGCTGCTTTGAGGTGATGTTTGCTGGGATATAAAAACTAAAACAGAAGCCCATGAGGACGTGGGGCTGTGAGATTTTTTCCATTGGGAGAACAAACATCTCCCTTACACTAGATATTAGGTTCTGGCCTGTTCATGGTATACACAAGAAGGGGTGCAGAATGTTAATTTAATTGAACACTGGTGTTTGACACACAAAAGTAGGAGAATAAGCTTTGAGATATTGGTGTGATTTAGGTTTTCCTGATCCTGTAATTTTATATGTATGCACCTTTGTAAAGTAGAGTGCATCTATACTAGAACCCCTTTAGCGCTAATTTCTGTCTGTGTAAAATGTGTGTATCCCCACTATGCAATATACATTTAAATTATGTTAAGATGACTTGACTCTTTTCAAGGAATGTATGAAGCGCATATAGAACAGTGGTAGGCAACCTACGGCACTCTAGATGTTTTGGGGGTTTTTTTTCTTTCAAAATGCTAGCAAAGAGTCGGAATAGATGTAGTCCACAATATCTAGAGTACCAAAGCTTGCCTACCCTGAAATAGAACTATGGGGATACCAAGCCCAGTCATGTATATTTAATTTGGTAGTCTTAAAGTGTACCTGTCACGATAAGTTTGCTTAGATTAAAAGGAAATTAAATTATATCTATACATTGTGTTGGCGGAAATGCTAGTAAATATAGAAGGAAGAAAACATCTAGAACAATGTATCACCCCCACCTGTCAATCAAGTCTTCAGCATAGAGTTGGCATAGACATCTGTGCCAAAGAACTAACTGACAGGGAGAACAGAGCCCTCCTTCATGGAGTCGTCCTGCTTCCCAGCATAGCAACCACAGTACATGTAATGTAATTGGTATGTCTTACTACTTGCCCAGTGCTTCGAGAGCTGGCTAGAGGAGTATAGGAACAGAATGACGGGTGTCCCTTCTATCACAAGCTAAGGCGATGGCAATGAAGCCAATGTGTGTTGGGGTTATGGAGGAGGACACTTCCCCAAGCTGGACCATTCCTTTCACAGCACAAGTATTCTATCCATCCATACAGAGATGTAGGGGTATTATTGACCCATATGTCCACTACCCACAGCACTAGATATACAGTGTAATTTTAACCCCTTAAGGACATGACAGAAATTTTCCGTCATGCTAGTCGTTTACTTCTGAAGCTGTGTCCTTAAGAGGCTAAACTTCTTTTCATACCAAGGGCAGTGTACAGTCTCCCAGCTCTCATGATCTTTGATCATTCTAAGCAGTGATTTATAGCGAACATATACTGATCAGTATCTGAGACAAAAACCTAACTCAACTGAACTATAACAATCCTTTGATATTTCTCAAAGAGTCTAATGATATCACAAGGGGTGTCTTTGCATGGATTACATTTTCAGTGCAGTGTTCTATTGTTGAACATTAAAATCGCTACAGTTAAATCAAAGTGGGCAAGGTAACTAGGACCAGGATACTATGCTGCATAACCTATACATGGTGTATTTTATTATTTTTATTTTTGCTTTAACTTTAAAGCTGACTGCATTTATGGAGTGCTTATCTTATCCACTATATTTGTCTGTATGCTTTTACATTGTGCTATATTCACTACTTACAGGAATAAAAATATCTATTAAAATAGTAGGGCAGAAGCCATATCTCTGAAATTGAATTTCTACAAATGGATTGGTGATAGGGGAAAGATGCACTAAAACATAGATATACTTCCTTCCTCAAAATGAGAAAGTTCCCCATTGAATTGCAATCTGTTTCAGTTCTAGGAAGGGGCGCTTTATATTGTTCTTTTAAACTCTGTATGGGAAGTTACACAGCACTTATGGAATGGATTTACTGGAAACATTGGTCTGTGACTTTGCAGACTGAATCATGATCAGTTTTTTTTTCTATGGTTTGTGTTATTGGAGTACTCAAGGTTATTAAAATCTACATGGCCCATATATTTTGGCTTGCTCGCTAAACAAGGAAATTTGGAGAACTGACAAAGAATTACAAATTCAGTCCACAATACACATTTTAAACTCGGATTTTCATTTTTCCTTGCCACTTGATCCACAGTTTCTAGTCTTATGTATAATCCCATTTTTAACATATTTATAATAATGTACTTTTATTTTTTGCACTTGTGTTGTTTGCTTGTCACTATGCCCATCAATAATTTGTTTATACTTGATGGCTTTCTAGTATTTAAATAGATTTGCAGTTTACATGGTTGAGTATTTATTTATATTTCTTTTGAGCAGGCAGGGCCACCAAATTCTCACAAAGCTTCTCTTCCTGTTGAATGTAGAGACTGTGATCTGCGGGTTATGTGGCTAACTTTGAATATCAAATGTGTTGGCAACAGATATAACCTTCAGCAGATAATTGCTGTGAAGCTGAAGAGACT